CTGAAGACCTCATCCGAAGTCCAGCACAATGACATGGAGCCATTCCATTCATTTCTGTGGGTTTCAATACTTACAGTCATCTCTTCCCGCCACCCAAATCCATTTATTAGAACTTCCTCCTGCTGACCCAAACCCACCACATGGATTTGCTCAGGTTTTCCTATTTTGCCTAGATTTTCAGGTGTGTCCAAAAACTTTAAGGACCATACTCAGACCAGCAAGTGTAAATGTCCTTTTTTTTCCCCTCTTAATGAACTTTAAAGTAATACAATGCTCTTTCTTTTCAATTTAGACTCCAGAGTAGGCACCAGAGTCTGAATACACTTCTGGGTGGCTCAGTTTTTTATTATGCTGCTTGAGTCACACAGAAATGCCCTGGTTTTCAGGAAATGAGTGAGAACCATGCTGGAAATGAAGATCCTCCCAGTGTTTTGTAACAGAATAATTGCAATTTCAGGTATCTGAAATCTCCGGATATGCCTGAAAAATCACATTCTAAATAACTCTGCATTTTTTAAAATTTCACCTATGTTATTGATTATCCCATTTCTGCCAGCTTTATGATTTTTGCATTAATTTCTTCATCTTACTCCCAAGTCATTATTCAGAATATAGAGGGGCTTAGTACCCAAAAAAGAGCTTTTCCACTTGGATTGACTCTTACCAGAAAATGCTGCTGAAAGGTACCAAAGGTTTTCCATCAAAACAGGTAGCTCCCTTCTTTGGGGAGGATGCTACATGGGGAGAACTGTTACTGTTTGGGCAGACAGTAACTCCTACTGCCCAAATGTACTCTCTGATAAATCTGTGGAAGTTTTATAACTGTTCCATTTGTACTGTTTTATTATTGTGTTTTATTACCTATCCTAATGCTTTTGCTTTCTACCTGCACTTCAGAAGAGATGGATGGTGCATATCACCTACAGTATAAAAAGGTGGTTTTCCCCCTATAGTCAATTTTCAACTAATTTAATATACCTGCTTTTCTATTGCCTTACAAGGCTGAGTGATATAATTCTTTTGAATAAGGAAGACAGTTGCAGAGCACGAATAAACACTATGAAGCTTTCCAAGGGGATAATACTGTCCAATGGCAGCTTTAATATTTCTTTTTTTTTCTTCTTTTGCTCCTGTCTGATGTCTATTTTTATTCAGTAATTTTATTTGAGAAACAAAATGAGAAAAGAACATTGCTATTCCTGGAGACCTTCCAATATGTTTCAGGAGCAGAAGGCTTGGATGAGAGATACGCAGCATCTCCCTCAAAAGACCATTTTATGGTGACAGCCAACAGTATCGCAACAGTGTTAGGAGTGTGATATTGGAGTGTCATTTACTTCATTCTGTGACCAACCTTTGGACCAGAATCACATGAATAGACACAGATTCTAATAAATATAGTTTAAAAAAAACTCCAATAAACAACTTTGTCAATCCTGGCCGAGGCACCCATCTCCCTTGGCTCAGGCTGAGATGTGCAGTACAAATATAATGCTGAAGTGCAATATAAAAGAGTGATTCATTGGAGGAAACTTAAAAACCTCTGACAGCCAGGTGATTCATACCTTGAGTGCTAATGGTGCTTTGCAGCAACCTCAATTTACTGATTTTGCATTGTCATATCAAGCGATTTACAAGAGCCCGCATGCACTCATGTGTTTATATGTGTGCACTCAGGTGCAACTCAGCTGAAGTTAAATAACTCTATCTTTAATGGGGTCTCTCTTTGAAGATAAGAAGCCAAATAGCATCTTTGCTATCTAAGATCCATAATTAAGGGGGTACTAGGAATCACTCGGGATAATAAAATATACATTGCAGTGCATCTTCTCTGAGCTCTCTTAGACCTTGAAAAGCTAAGGACAAGGTTCTGGTAGAAAACTACTTGGCTGTAAACATGAATGATGGTTTTGATGAGAAATGCACCCCGTTCCTCTTGAGGATAAACCCATAAAAAGGCACCTTTACACTTTGCACCCCTGGATTTCAGTGACAGCTGGGTACCTACGCATCTTTGATGACTTGGCCATTAATGTCTTTCAGAAAGGTCAATTCTCACAGACTTCAGTCAAGGGTGAATTTCCATTGGCCATGTGGATGGGTTTTCAGTTCTCAGAAAGTTTACTTCCTTCCAGCAGAGGAGTAGATAAATAAATATTAGCGAGGGGCTGGGATATTTTGTGTTTTTCTGCTAAAGAGAGTCACTTGCAAACTCTACCAAGAAATATTTAGAACCGCTGGCTTTGTGGTTCACTTGTTTTCTCCATTTTTGTCCTTTTATGCAAATCTCTTTGCTGCAGAGGATGCATCACATGCCAATGCAAATACAGGGCCAGCACCTGCTATTTAGCCTCTTGAACCGAAGCTTGTGAAAATTGATGCTACATTGGTCAGAAGGCATGAAAGCAGCAAACTGTGCTCTGGAAATCAGGCATCATCAGACAGATAGTGTGATAGGGTTTGTGGAATGACATTGTTAGGAACTAGAGGCTAACAGACCGTTGCACTAAAGTTATGTTTGAAAGTGCATCACCACCTACAAGCCAGGATATACAGCCACAGTACCCCAAGAACACCTATTTAACAGCGAGGTACATCGTTTATTTACTGCCGAAGACAAAGCTACAAAAGTTTCCCCTCATCCTGCAGTGTTATCCTGTTCAAAAATCCCTGGCTGCCTTAACAGTGTAGCTGTCTTAGCTGAGCAGTATTTCACTTCCACATTTCAAGATATTTCACCCATCACTAAAGGGGAATCATTCATAGATCCTACTGGTACCTGGAGCAACCTTAGGCATTTGCCTTTACTGTCCTGGAACACTGTATAACATGATACCACTGCAGGAGTGGGTGCTCTGTGCCCCTATATATTATTATGTGTCCTTCCCAGCAGATTTCAGCATCTCCAACTCTACTAAAGTCTGTGGGTTTCCAATGCTGTACTAGCGGGATAACCAAATTTAGCTTAGAAAGTAACAGGCCAAATTTAATCTGGATTGCACTTGTTAACACAGAGGATGAATTTGTCCTGTTTTCCCTCACTGGCTTTCACTGATGTCCTTTTCTTTTTTAGTCATCACCACTACAGTATCTGGTTGTCTATTTACAAGGAAGTTTAGCACAAGTGTTTCACAGTTTGAAGAGCTGACCATGCACATCCATGTACAACCACAGAAGCCTACAAGCTCACAGAGGGTCATGCCCTCCTCATGACAACAAGCGTGATGCAACATCCTTAAAACTACACCACCATTATTCTCTCAAAAGTCATCTTCATTGCAGAGGTATCTATCTGCTTAGCCATAAGCAACATATGTTGAAGCATCTTTTCAAGAACAGTAGATACTGCAAGATCTTTGTAGTTTGGATTTTCCTGCATTTCAGAATTGTCACATTGTCAAGGAGGGTTGAAGAGCAATGATAGGGCACCTCCATGTTCAGCTTCCCAAAAGGTGGGTTTGCTGCTCGGCAGGACTGACTGCTTTAAGGGGTCAAGTGAACTTTCACAGGCAAAACTGTGTAAATCTTTCCCTTGCAATTAATTTCCAGTACAAACCAGGGTGAGTGAGAACCACAGCTGCTAGTGGCTGTCCAAGGTTTTGCATGGACCAGGCGGGACCCAGCAGGTGAGGATCCATCTCATCCAACCTGTCAGGCATGAGTGACAGATTTCCCGAGGAAGCCCTGACCAAGGCTGTTATGCTCTTGTCTCATCTTTAAGGAGAGGAGGCTGCTTCCCTTTGTCTCTGATTAAAATAGAGTGTGCCTGTTTCCACGGTGATAAGAGATGCCCTGAAAAACACTATTTTGGAAATCTATAGAAGCTTTTGTAGTGCTGTGCTCCAGTGATTTTATTAAAATATAGTAGTAATAATAGTAAGATGTCCACACCCTTTAATGTCAGGGGTGTAACAAAGAATTGCATTAAAATAGAAAGGTATTACAACTGGTTTGGGAGCCCCACAAGCCCAAATCAGAGGAAACTAGAGAATTAAACTCAATAAATAACTCTACCTGCTTTCTGTGTGCTGATATTCTTCCCAAGACATCTCTTGTTGCTCTCTACTGAAGGGAAGATGTTGAGCTAGAGGGACCGTTGATAAGACCCTGTTCAGCCTCGCTGATGTCCTTGTATCAGCGAACCAGGAATAGCTGAGACAAATGATACTCCTAGGCATTTTAATCATGTTACACGAGTTAACTGGCTTGCACTGATGTGAATCAAAAGAGCACACGCTTCTAACCATGAAAATTTTCAGAAACAGCCAAGTGTCTTCAGAGCTGGACTGTCCAGAAAGCAAGGAGTCACATCACATAAAAAATTCAGGGTTAGGAATGGCTGGTCCTTTCCCACTGGAATGAAGTAGGAATACATCCAGTTAAAAAAATCTCATTTAGGTTCCATGAGAAACCCCACAGCTGGGTGATGGTCCCAGGCTAGGACAGAGAAGAGGCTTGTGGACAGGATAGAAATGAGCATTAATTCACAAGCTGCAAACAATCCAGGGCAGGAAGGTGAATACAAACACCCTCTATGGGCACATCCTAACATCGTGCTTTCGGCAGCTTTGGCGTGACTGCTTTCTTTCTATGCCTCTGCCTAGAACTTGCATCCTGCATCCGAGATGTCTTTCTGCCACATTTCTATGAAATATTTCAATGAAAATTTCACCTAACATCTCCAGACTTTCATGGGCAGGAGTTACAGTCACCAAACTCAAAGCCTAGGTCATCTCTGACCACAGAGCTCTGGAGATCACAGCTCTGGGACGCTACGGAGAATAAGAAGAGGTTACTCTGTGCAACAGGAAGACAGAGCTCCGGGGTGATTTACTGTACTGAACTGTAGCTGCACCGAGTATAAAATGAAACAGAATTTGCATAGCTCTCTGTTTTACAGAAAGACAGTGACGGCGGGGGGGAGGGGGGGACACGACACACAAATGATCTTGGTAACTTCACCTGCTGACATCAGAAACCTCCAATGCAGCATACAAGACTGCATCGCAAAATCCCTGATCAAGAACATGAAGCTCCTTCCCCTCTTCACAGCTGCATCCTGCTTCACGCCCCCAGGTCCCTGTTTCTTTGTACTACAAGTGATGAAGTTTTTTTTCCAGATCACATGAGCCAGGATGAACGGGGAAAATCCTGCCAGGAACAGAGATGGGCTGCAACTTGAACCTGATCAAGGGGAGATACAGAGCAGTACCCTGAGGGCTATATAAGAATGAGCTCAGCACAAGAGCAAACACTTTTTCAGGTGAAGGACTCTCATGAATCAGCCATGCATGTGAATGAAGGCACCGTTTCAAGGAGGCTTGGAGCCACTAGCAAAACATGTTTGTATTTCATCATCGCTACCCTTGGTGTGTTACTCATCTTTGCGTTAGCCACCATCATGGTCTTAGTCGTTCAGAGGATGGTAAGCAATTTCTTACTTTATTCATTGGCTTTTTCTTTCTTTCTTTTTTTTTCTTTTTAAACTAATGCTTTCCAAAAATTATCCTATGGCCAGAAAATCAGTTGCTTCCTCCTGTTATAAATGCACACATGTGAATTAGAGGAGAGAAAGATGAAACCAAGAGGGAGAGGAATAAACTTTCCAAAAAAGACAGCCTTTCTCCATGGGCAGCCTTAACTTCTGGCACACCATTTCTACCCTGTAAATGGAAGTGAAAAGCTCATAATCCAAGATGCAAGCCACCCTCTGTCCTGCTTAGGAAGAGTGGTGGAGAGAAGAGATCAGTGCCTCAGTGTCTGCTACTTGGTTTTATATGTGTCTCCTGTTGCTTCTACAAAGAGTGACCACTGTCCACGATGGTCTGGTCTGGTAGTGTCTACGTGTGTTCCTCTGAAATACTGATGAATTTTAGTAACGGACATAACACAAGACACCTCTGTGAGTGACACTGCGTCGTGCTGCCTGCTGGGATACACCGTGAGGCGGTGAAACAGAGCTCTCTTGTGAGCATGGGATGGGGGCAAAGTAGCTCACTGGCCCTCTCTTTTTTGTCAGTCCTGTTCTTGGGTGTGCTTTTTAATGCAAAAGTAGAGCTATAGCAAGGATGACTGAAGGATATAAGTGAGGAAAGCTCTGACAAAAACAACTGTTCTCTCTGGCTACAGGTATTTTTTCCTTCTTAAAATAAAGAGGATTGCTCTCAAGTGGATCTGGGGTTGAATGGAGAAGCAGTGAGAGTTACAGCCAGGGCAGAGCTACAGGTGGTGGTGAATATAAAAAGTGCATTTCTAATCTTACCAGGAACATTGCCATGAACTTTACTGAGGTAAAATGACAGGTTAGAAGTTTTATAGGCTTTGAAATCTAGGCACTGAAGTATCTCCACTACTATTCATAGAATGAAAGCACCAGCATGAGGCTGCTGGAGGAAGTTGGCCATGGAAAACAAAATATGATCTTTCAGCTCAATATTTTCTCTTACTAAATTTACCCCGTGCAATTTCTGTGTCTGTGTATGCACATTACCAGAAATTAAACCATGAAGGCTTGACTGATACATCTTTAAGTTGCACCAGAGAGGAGTCATTTACCTGAAATCAGCGTTCTTCCAAAAGAGAAGCAACTTGGGCACAGTTAGAATGAGACATGGGGGTTTTCAAGTGATAAATAGTGGGACATTAAGGGAGATCTTTAAAATAACAGCCTGCGTAATTACAGAATTGCCACAGCTTTCCTATATAATGAGGCTTTCATTTGTACTTATTATGAAAGTAAGCATTAAATTACTTCCCCATCAGGATAAACGCAGCTGCACTGGTTGCCAGAGGAACAATATTACTGAAAGAGCCAAGGTTTTCATTTAAAAGAGTAATGGCATTATTGCAGCTGCTTTGGAAACAAGCTTGGCTGAAGGAGAACATAGGAAGCTGAGGTGTGCAAGAAACACAAATAAAATCGAGCAGCAATTTTACACTGCAAGAGGAAATTTGGCAGTAAAAGCCGAACTTCTGTTCTTGTTCTCAGGGAGCTGAAAGACCCCCGCTTCAGAAGCAGCATAGTCATTCTCCATCTGTGGCTGGTCTTGAATTTCCAGACCAGGGAACAAGTGTTCATTCGGTGACACAAATTCCTCAAGAAACTCCAGGTCTTGCTCCAAAAACACTTTAGCTCATGGTCACACTGTGAGTATAAGGCTCAGCACAAACTCCTTTGGTAAATACAGTTGTGGCTGGGCTGAGTATCTTGTAGCATTGCCTTCAGCAGCTCCAGGACAGGAGGTCTGGAAGGCCCTTGTACTTGGAGCCTTGTGGCTATTGAGTCCTGTTGCTGTAGGGAGTAGAACACCATCAGTTGGCTTAATTACTTTCTTTGTAACTTCTCAAGAGACGACCAACATTTTGGGTGATCAGCCTCTTGGGATGATCTGGTTTTCTCTCCAGATGTTGTCAGCTGGATTATGTGAGTGACAACTTCACGATAGAAACTTGTATTTTCCTCTGTCCAAAGGAGTGCATGTCCTTAGGACAATGCAGGCCTTGTGACCCATGTCTCGGCTACCACTGCATTAAGAGGAGGCTTCTGGTGGCAAGCAGATCACAGAGTCCCCTAGCCCCATTGCAGGTACATGGAAATTGGCTGCTTTTCTTCCTTTTGATGAATTTACACTTGCCTAGTTTAAGATGAAGGAAGACGCATTGGAAAGGGCAAATCAAACTGTGTAGAAACAAGACATTTGGTCATCCAGAATCCAGGTGCTCTGAATAAGGGAAATCCAACATGAAAGACCAAAATAAAAAAGCAACTATGATTCCAAAGCTGCTCCTCTGACTCTAAGAGCACTTCTAATACACATTATCCACACGCTCCTCCTGGCATTTTCCAACACCACAAGAAATTTCCTTCACGCCTTGTTTTCAAGAAGGGTGGCACAGCACATTAGTGTCAGACCTGGGAAGTGTAATTTTTTGGAACTAAACTATGTTTTGGGGAACTAACTACATGCAGTGCTGAAGTCAGTTCATTTCTTCAGCTTTCATCTGCAGAAACCCTTGGCTTCAGGCCATTTGCTTGTCTCAGTCTTCCACAAGTGACTTTATTTTTCTCTGGAATAAGAACAGTCACTTTATGGTGGTCTGTAGCCTTCATTTTTCTTCTTAAGACTATTATAAGAGTGCTAAAACCTCCAGCCTTCTGCCTGCTGCATTTCACTGCTGCTGGTTATATGTATATATACACATCTACGTAGATACTGATGTAAAGAGAGAGAGAGATGTAAAATCAGTGAAAGCGTATGGGACAGAAAGGACTAGACAAATGTAATTTTAAGAGACACAGACCCTAGCAAATCTTATGCTGTACTGCAAGGTATGCTCTATCAGACAACTAGGCCACCTACCTCTAGGAACAAATTCTGCATGAAAGTCCAAGTCCATAGTCTGGGATGGTCCATCACTGCTCTGAATTTTGTAGACTTCACATTTTTAACCTCCATACTGCGCGGGCAAATCTTTTCATCAGAATTAAGGCACCAATGTGGCAAATTGTAAGACTCGGTGCAGATATCTATGGTTGCTGCTCTAGTCTTCAAGGCTACTAGAGTCAAAAATGTAAAACCCCTTTAGCAGTGGGACTGCCGTAACCAGGACTCACTTCTTCAGCACCTAGCACGTTCATGCACTATCTATTTGGCGATTTATGTCTGCTTAAAAGTAATCTTGCCACAGACTGCCCCAGTTGATTCCTATTGGCCCCCTCTGGTGGACAGCACCGACAAAAATTAAAAGGGAAAAAAAAAAAACAACAAACCACTGAAAATTGCCCTGAAAGCACATTTCCCACTTGTTGAACACCACAGGAAAACCGCTGAGGCATTTTAGAAGAAAACTGTGCTGTTCCAACTCTTGCCATCGGTATTCTGTACAGTGACAGTCACCTGCTGTCTCGAGGTGTCACTTTAATAGGTTTTGCAAGTACTGGAAAAACTGAATTTCACACGGAGCTCTGTTTCCTGTGATGCTCGTTATCAGATCAGCTGCGGGGACAGCACTCCGCCTTCTGGAGCTTTCACATCTAGTTTCTGCCTTTCCCTCTTGGCAACTCAGGGCCACCTACCTAAAGTGCCACTGCCTGCCTTCCCCCTCAGCCAGAGCTGGGTAACGATGGCTTGATGCTGAGCAGAAACCCGGGAAACCCTTGAGGCTTTTTTCCAAATTGCAAAACTTCCTCGGAGGGCAGCAGTCCAAAGAGCTCGTCCCCGCAGGGCTGCTCTGCGGACATGCTCTTGGGAGAGCCTTGGACTTGGCCAAGCTGACCCCAGGCCAGTTGCTGGGGGACTGTGGTTTCAGGGTATGTTTTCTTGGACTTTCTAGAGGCAGATACACACTTCAGAGACCCCTGGTTAAGTGAATGTTCACAGTTCTGACACAGGACATCAGAATGACCCTCTAGCAGCAACCAGTCTGTCTCAGCTTGGGAAATTCTATTGTAAAATGATTTAAAAAAAAAAAAAGAAAAAGAAAGAAATCACTTGCACTGCCACCTGATTATCATTTTCTCTAATGAAGCAAACTCAAATTATTCTGCTTGCTGAGTGAAGACTGAGATCCTTCAGCAGCAGCACCGAGATCACTCCAGACAGGGTGAAATTCATTGTCATTAATTCTTCCTGGGCCGGCACTGCAGAATTTAATCTCTTTGGGCTCCTACTGTGTGCCTCTTTGTATTCCAAATCACAGCATTACATGCAATATTTTTGCTGCTAGAAAAGAAAGAAGTGATGCCAGTAATATTTCAAAGCAAGCTCTAAAGTTTTATTTGAATATCTATTCAATTGTCACTAAAATAAATTGCATTAGTATCTGCTGGTTTTACCCACTGGGAGACTTCCCAGGTGAGAACACCATACATTAGAACATTTTAATTTTGTTTTTGTTGCCCTGACTACAAAGCAAGCTGTGAGCCATCAGTCTTGTCCTGCACGCCATCTCCAAGGGAGGGCTGCAAGGTGAACACCTCAGCAATGATAATGTCTCAATCACTTTACCGAACACTTCTCTACAGGCAGCAGTGGGTCTGCAGTCTGATTTCATTTAACATAACCTACCTGGGGACGGAGCATCCCCTTTCTCTCATGCAAAAACGCCTTTAATTCTCTGTAGAGGGCAGAAATGCTCATACATTGCATTGGAAAGTAATGCTTCCCTGTGCCCTGAGTGTACATGAGAGGCACAGCCCAGTGCAAGGGTCCAGGACGGCAGCTCAGAGGCTCTGGCAGATGGTCCTTGGGAGTGTTTTCAGCCGAGACTGTTCTCAGTCCCACATTTGATCATACATGTGCATAGGGTCCATGAGAGGTTGCAAGGTAGGATATAATGTAGATGACCAAAAAGCTTGGAAATGCCTGTTCTTTCAAACTACAGCTCTAGGTTCCCATCCTTCTCCTAACCCAGCAGCCTTCCTGTACAGCTTAGGAAGATCACCTGGAGAAATACTGTCTCAACAGATAACTTCTCCCCTGTGTTACCTAATTGCGGGGAGAGAAAGTGAACAGATCATATATTACAGATGCCCAAATGATGAAACACCTATGCCATCTCTGTCAGCAGGGCACAGCATGTTGGCATTAGACCAAAGGATAACATCGCTTTGCCAGGAGCAGATGCAGCTCTACCCTTCAGCCATGGTTGAAAACATGGTCACATTAAGCCAAAGTCTAATTAAAAGTATTCTTAAACATTTAAGGCTAGAACATTAAGTACCACAGACACAACATGACTTCTCTCACTGTCCAACCATCTTCCTTCTCCCCACACCACACGTTATCCCATTTACACACAGAAATGAAGTGCTTATGTTTTAAGACCACTATGGATGAAGCTGCCTCCCACCACATGCATGGTGTGCCTCCTTTCTCCCAGGAGATATTAGCTGCTCTGCTAAAGCTGGCACCAGATTCCCAAATTTCTTCTTTTTAGACAACCTGGTCGGTCATTGGAACAGGCTCCCCAGGGAAGCAATCACAGCACCAAGCCTGTCAGAGTTCAAGAAGTGTCTGGACAACGCTCCTAGTCATATGGCTTAGTTTTAGGTAGTTCTGCCAGGAGCAGGGAGTTCGACTTGATGATCCCTATGGGTCCCTTCCAACTCCAGATATTCTATGATTCTGTGCTAAACTGGGCTTGGCCTGGTTAGCCTGCAAAATTAGCCCAGGTAATTGGTATCCAGATAAGAGGAGCTGGTTTAGGCTAGCCTGAGCAAAAACTGGTCCCTGATACTGAAATCACTGTGGGACTGCCTGGTGTGTGTGAGTGAAGGGATGTGACACAGAGTTTCAAGCACTGAGGCACTCTCATTTTTTTTCCTTGGCTGTTGGGAGAATTTGTTTGCTTCTCAAGGGCACTGATGGATGTGTATGAGCTGTCAGTGACTTGACTTGTGTGGAAGCAATATGCAAGCAAGCACAGGCTTCAGGGTTGTATGTGTGGATGGAAGAGAGGTGTGATAAAACAGAAGCAAGACCACAGATGAATCCTACCATATTTCACACCTGAAGCTTGTTTCCTGGGAAGTTCTCAGGTCATGCTGATGGACAACAACTTCCCGTGCCATTTTGACCCTTGGGTTTACATCCCAGCAAGAAGTAGGAGGAGAGGTGAAGCAGACCATCTCTGTCACGCTCAGACCTGTGTTGGGGCTCTACAGCTTTTCTTTTCATCCAGCTACTGGCTTCCCAGGGACAGATGCTGGCTCTCAGGGGGGCTGTGTGAGAAATGTGGATTTCCTATGTTAGAAAAAAAGGACAGTGACGAGGGGTGACCGATGATGATATTTGGATGAATGCAGAGAGCTTGCTGGAGCTGTTTGCTCCACAGCAATCCCTTGCTGGTTTGTGATTCTCTATAGGAGTCATACATTCTGTAGTACCTGGTGCTGGCTCCCTCTGCATCAGGCCGTGTATTGCCTTCATGGTATCCAATGGAAACTTTTAAGACCCACTTTTAAAGCCGGATCATATTTGAACATGGGTGTGCTCCCAGAATAACCGTCCCTTCTCTTGCTTCTCTTTCAGGCAGCTGATCCTGCCACAGAGGGCATCGCGAAACCTATCAGGACAGGTAAGGCACCTAAACTGACTAAACTGGCATTTGTCTATAATGCAAATATTGCCTGGGATCACAAATAAGCCAGCTGTGTGCATCTTAACATTTCACACAAAGTCTCTTCTTGGTGAGAAGCCAAGGTAGAGAAAAAAAAGAAGAAGAAGAAAAAATAGCTTTCAAATTACTCGGTACCTCCGGAAACCAGCGCATGGCTGAGGAAATAACAAGTATGTCTGAATATGCCCTGAGGTGTCTTTGCAAGAGAGCCTTTTTGCCAGAGGATGTGAACGTCAGTCTGACTATTAGGTCTTATTTTAAGGGCTGGCTCTTGCACATGTGGGCGTAACGTCCCCGTGTTCACAAGGCATGGGTGCAAATGTGTTGGCACATATTTCAAAACAACTGACACTCCTCCTGTACTCCTCTGGCCTGGAGCAGTCATGTGGTTCCTACTGGTTTGTGGGGAAAAGGGAGGAGGGACAGGGTAGGTCTAGAAAGGACAAGTGGAGAACAGGAGCAAGGGGCACAGAGCAAGGAATTTTAATTTTACATTTTTTAATTATATTTTTTAAATTTTAATTCTTTAATTTACAGGCAGAGTATGAGCACAGTGAGCCCAATATAGGAAAAAACTCTCTAACTAAACTAGCAGAGACAGTGTACCAAGATTCTGCTTTTCTTAGCATAAATCAGGAGGAGCGCTATTTATTTCATTGACATTGCCTCCCCAGTTACACAGCCGTTAGCACCAAGTATTTTGACTTCTTGCAAATACAAGTTCATACTCAGTCAGAGGATAGGAGATATCATTGCCTCCCACTCTGCAGATGGGAAAAATGAAGCGCAGTGTTTATCTAGAAGCGATGGCAGAATGGGAATTTGAAGTTCAAGGCCCAGAGAGTCCTCATCACGTAACCATCTTTTCTGAAGCTGCGCTTTTGCGCACAGGTGACATAATGCACCATTTGGGCCACGCATATCCTATCTTGGATGATTTTTGAATCTGGGACTCCTCCATATTGGACTTGTTTCATAGCCCACAGGTCTCCAAGTAGTCCCTGCGTGTCACTATGTCCTTTCTGAGAACTTCACATCTTGCCCAGCCATAATTTTTTTTTTTTTTAATTCCCGTAACCTGGAGGGATTTTCTTTTCCCCTAGGACATCCTAAGCGCATGTTGCTGTCTCTCTATCGACCTAAGTAGCTCCTTAAGTCTTTTTAAGTCTTTCTTAGGTCATCTAGTTCTTTATTCTGTACCTGAAGCTCCTCAGAAATAAAGCAGGGTCTGAATATACAAGGTGCTCAAAAATGAGCTTTGGAAACCTAACAGACTGCAAAGCATCAGCCTGGATGATGATGGAGAGTCCCCAGCAGCTGCGAGGCGGTACGGCCCCAGAGCAGAACCTCTGCTCCTGCAAACCAGTGTAACCTCAGAGAAGTCACCAAACTGTGCCGGTTTTCATGGCTGAGATTTACCACCAGTTAGGAAGAGGTAGTGAAAGCTGTCAGTGTGGAGTCTAATGATTGACAGAGGAGGAGCCACAGAGACTCTATTTGTAGGTCAGTGGTATTGGAAAGCAAAGCATGAGCAACACTGGCATTCCCCAGGCAGAGAGGAGAGGCCTCACTAATCCAAAAGCACATTGCAATATATATAATATATATATTTATTTTTATTTTTATTTTTTTACTTCATATCAGGCAACCTTTGCCAATTGCTTTTTCTCCTCCGGTGCCAGGCAGGAGGAATATGCTCTCTCCAGGAATGTACAAGGTGCTGTTTCATTAGCCAGAAACCTTTTTGTCTGTGGGTCAATATCAATTACAGGCACCCTCTTGCTCCAAATTCTGCCGCTAAATCTGAGATGATGCCATTAGTGAAAGACAAAGGAGGGAATGATAGAGAAACCCCACAAGGCAGGAAGAGTGGCTGAAAGCTGTTTGTGAAGGATGTAAGCGTTCTGTCAGCCTACCCCTCGTTGCCTACCAGGCTCTATTGTACATCTCTGGCAGGGTAATAGAGCATTAGAGTGTGAGCAAATTACAATGGCCTTTTATTTTTCCCTTAGAATGCATAAAGCAGGGCTAATTGATTAATATATCCCAGCGGGAAATTTACTGAGGCCCCCTCGGCAGGGAGGTCTGTCATATGCTGCCAGGCACTGCTTGCTGACTTCTAAGCAGGGAGTTGCGGCCACTGCTGCAAGGTCCCATCCAGCAGCTGCAGAGCAGCAAGGAACAGAAACATAGGAAACATTTCAGGATGGGGACTGTGGTGAGGCTGAAGTTGCTGTGGATTTAGATTTGGTTCTGCCTCTCAGGCAGCTCAGATGCTGATAGTGTAATTTGGGTGTATTTTGTACCCACCTTGTCCACAACAGGGCTCCAAAGCTCTGTGAAGTAAAAATGGGCAAGAAAGCAAAAAATGAGGATGCCAGTTTGCCAGCTGGGTGCTCAGCCTTGCTCCAGCCCTGTGTCCGTACCTACTTGTGCAAAACATCTCAGCGAAGCTACTGGGGGATGCAGAACTGTGCTGGTGGGATCAGCTGGGCTTCACTCAGGCAGAGACAAGCATTGTAATGCAAATGGACAGTGGTCCAGACACGGCTACATCTCTGAATTAATTTTGTAATATTAAAGCAGGAAAAACACAATGATTTCATTTAGATTTCCAAAGAGATTATGTTCTATTATTAGCTGAACACCAGCAGACACTACAGCAGATTTATCGAAGGTTTACGTTCCCGACTCAGCTGTCAGTCCTCAATGGATGGGTTTGCAGGGACCTGCAAGCAGTAGCTGAGAGCAATGCAATGTCACCTAATTAAATGTTTGTGTGAAAACCGGTATCAATCTCCTCAAAACGTCTGTGCCATTGTCGGTGGAGTACATGAGCAACAGGGGGAAAGGATGAGATTCATCATGAACAAGGTGTTTGTGAAATGTTCTTTCCGTGGAACTATTTCTCTGTGGAAACTCATCCACATTTCATAAATATCAAACCATATATCAATATGGCCCAGAGAGTTATTATTGTTCGCTTCATTTTTTTCAAGGGAAACTAAGTCATGGAGAAATTTATGACCTGCCAATGTCTGGAAAGGTTTAGCCTGCATCATCTCCTCTCATTCCTCTCTGAGCTTCGTTTCCCTATACCGTATTTAATCCCTGACTGATGGCTTTTTTAGTTATTTTGAACTACAAGGACATGATACCAAAATCTGTTCTCATTTACAGAAGGAAAAACCTGCAGATACATGCACACATACACACACTTTATGTATATTTTTGTCCAGCAGTAAGATCCATTAGCAGTTGATGGACAGACCAGGAATGGAAATCCAGCACCCCATGCACAGTTTCAATGGGAAATAGGTTCCCAAATAAAAATCTGGCTCCGAGAACTTTAGGTAACACAGGTGACACTCACATCCCTTGCTACCCTAGAGTAAATCAGGCTGAAGGCAGAAAGGCCAACAAGCCTTTCCAGGCTTACAGAAATATCTCTGAGTGCGGTTTGGCCTTCTACAACTGAATCTGGTCTCTTCCAGCCTGGAACTGTCCCAGTGCAACACTATTGAGATTGCTGAGATGTTAGTCACAAATCCCACAGTGGTGGGTTCTTCAGAAATGGGTGTCTCATATTTAGACCATATAGATTTTTGGTTTTGCAGCTTCCGTACGTGCCTGTGTTGGTGTGCATATATGTGAAACTCCTGTCTGCTCTTGGGAGGGCAGGGTACATGAGCTGTGCGGCTCTGTTCAAAAAATTTTGGCAAGCCTGGGCTTGCAAATGCTAGAAAGAGTGCATGGCCATCCTCCTAGGCAAGCATCCGGAGGAAACTGCAGCCAGACAGGTTCCAGTTATTCATAACGGGGGCTGGTTGCTTATTAATTAATAACGAGATGAACGGTATTGCTACAAAACGCTGAATGTTAGATCTTCTGTCTCTCCAATACTTAAAACACAAGTTAGAGATCAATATATAATGAACAGCTCATGAAATTATGTGACCCATGCTATACTGACGAGCAGGCTAGAGGCTTGGATAGCTTTGGCCTTAAATTCTACAAGTTTTGCAGTAATCAGGTGTGCAGCAGCAAGGAGTTCATGAGAGGTTCCTCCTAAATTTGGAGGAAAGAATGGGATACTTCTAAAATTTGCATTTTTGGAAGGAGGTTAAATTGCCAGATGAGTTCAGTTCCCTTGCAATGCACAGAACAAGAGCAACAGCCTTTGGGCTCTCGAGGACCAAAGGCACTGGGTGCATGCGTGAGCGGCACAGCCACAAGCAGAGCCCAGGAGGGGACATCACCCACCTGGTACTCGTCACAGTGTCACCCAGCTGGGACAGTCCCTCAGTGCCAGCCGGCAGCCGTTTGCAGGACACCTAACTGGAAGGAGGGAGATACAGATAGCTACAGGGACTTCAGGTAGTGGCCACTGAGCAATAAAATTAGGCAAGTTCTGCTAACTCTAGCATGCTGACTGAGATGTATGAAATCACCTTGCCTAATTCTATAAGCACTTAAATCGGTGAGGATACGGAGGAATTGAAAGCTGTTTGTTGCCTGCCCACAATTCTTCACCTCTCAAGCTAAGTTCAGGTTTTTGACCTGCTCTTGTGCCTGTCCACACTCAGCCTCCAGCTAGTTGGAATGCCACATGCACTGCAGAGGGATATCGCTGGAAGAGGTGACTGGTACTAAGACAAGCCTCAAAAACCCCAGGCTTTCGATGCCTGGGTGGCAACACTTTGTGCTCTGACGTGCTGCTTTCAGCTCTTGGTTTCACTGCCCTTTGTCCATGCTCTCATTATACCTATCTCGGAGGTGGGGAAACTGAGGCAGCCAGCAGTGACAAGAGTTGACCAGGCAGAGTCACATCTCTTCAGACCTGGCTGGCAGCAGCCCGTATAGCCACATGTTCCACAGCCCTTGGCTGCCTCCTGGCAGGACACAGCCTCTTTAGGTCCTGCTGTGTTTTGCTGAGACATTTTGCACCACAGGTGAAAATCACGGGAATGTCAGTGAGGCCACAGCTCCACTAGGTCCCATTTCACAGTCCTGCAGCGTGTCCCCTTGGGCTCAGTGCGGAAAAGCTGTGTTAAGCTCATGGAAATAGTCTGACGCTTTTCCTCAGGACTGCGCCCTCTGGATGCTCATCTGGTGGGAAAAGGGATCAGGAAGACAAAAGTGAATTGTCTCCCTACAGCTTCTTTTGGACAAAAAACCTAAATGGCTTCCTACTAAGATTCCTTCCTCATCAGCAGGCTTCCTTCAAACAGCCTGATCTACAGCATCCATGCACAGGGCAGACAGTGAAACCAGTGTGGTCTCTTTGGTAGTTAGTCCCAAATGTGGCTTTGCTTTTTCTCCTTCTCAGTATTTTTAAGCTCCTGCTGACTTCAGTGGGATTAATTCTGATTTACACTGTTACTAGTGCAAAACCAATTAGGTGATGTGATTGGACATACCCATCAATCAGTCCTGAAACTCTAGTAATTTCAGTCTCTCCTGGCTTGAGCTGAGATATTTCAGATAAAAGAATTAACTTGAGAAATAAAACTAGAAAACAGCTACAAGCTGCCTCAGCAGAGTGAGAACCGGAAAAGTCTCTATAAAACAATTTTTTTTTCCATAACGTGCCTTCTCAGAAACACAGCTGATGTCACCAAATAAATGGTTTAAACACACACACACACACACACATAAAACTTGCTGACAGCAATAAATGCAAGTACAGCTTTGGCAATGCAAAGTGCAGCTAGATCAATGAGAGATGCCACGAATACCCTGAGACAGCTCATGACCGTCGGGGCTCCTGGCAGCACCAGGCTGTTTGTGTGCAGGCACAAGCGCTTTGCTTGCTTAGCAGATATCGTGGGGCTGCAGCTTCCAAACCCTGCTTGAGCAGCAGGGGATTTTCTGCTTTATAGGGTAAACTCCCTAAATGCCACCGAGTTTCTGTAAAAATATTCTCCCTTCTTGCAGGACACTTGTAATGTGAGTGGGCTCAGGGCGCTGACTATGCATTACCAAAGACTGTTGCTACAGCTTTACTTTGAAATAAGGGCCAGAAGGGTTTTCTCCTATCCTATGCCATATCTCCACATCTCTGTAGTGTCTGTGCACTCACTCAAATGCTATATTGACATGACTAAGATCAGAAAAGTAGGCTTTGGTTTTTCTTTGGGGATTTCCAGCACAGCCAAGGGACTTCGATACACGACTTACTCATTCTTGGAGTGCCATGAGCACCTGCTTCCCTCAAAAGGAGGGAACTACTTCAACTACTGAAATCAGAGAAGGACTGCAATTCTTTCAAGAAATCCACAGCCTCCTTCTCCGACAGTACGAGTGCAACGGGTGCAATATTAAAAATCACCAACCCATGGGACTTGTGCGTGGGACCAGTTTCTCCCTAATTCATTCATCCTCCTGACCAAGTACCTCTTAAAAATCAGGCCAAGCAGACACTGTAAGGGTATGGAGATTTGAATCTCCTGTACTCTTAGTTTCAGGAATCCTATGAAAGTTAAGATCCTTGACTCACTCTGTATTTAGTAAACTCCTTTTTCATGTAAGGAACAAGAAATATGTCATCTCATGCCATGGGGTAGTGTCAGAACTTAGTAGACTTTAGTTTTGTATATTAACAGGTCCTTCAGAGACCCTCATAGGATGAGTGATTCATACCACTTTTATAAACAGAGTCACAGGAAAACTTAAGTGGTTTGTGCACTCATGGAAAGGGTAGTATAATTTGGTAAGGCTTTAGTGAAACTCCTTCAAACTTTACTCCTGGTATTTAGCTGCAGAATAAAACACAGGAAATTGCCAATCTCCCATCTGAGCCCCTATGCACATCCTTTCCGCAGCCACAGCAGAGCTAGCAGATGTAAAGAAGGAGAGCCAATGCAATGAGAAATAGCCAGTTGCCTGCCTGGTTGCAGCCATGGGGACATACACTGTTTTTCCTGAATGTCTGTCTTGTCTGTGTATCCATGTGCCTGTGGGCTGCACAGGGCGGTACAAACACTGCTCTGTACAACCACAAAGTAAAGGAGGAATAGCCAGGGCCGTTCCATGAATGTCTGGCAAGGTGAGAGGAGGGGAAGCTTACACAGAGCAGATGGGAAGGTGAAATGTGGCTGGAAGGGAGATGAAATGCAAGGGGAAGCAGTGGGGTGCAGGGTCCAGGATGCAGGAAATGGCACACCAGGAGCCAGTGCTGGGATGCAAGGCCTGGGGTGCTGTCCCAGGAGGGGGTGCTGGGATGCAGTGCTCAGGATGCTGCCCAGGGATGCAGTGCGGGATGCAAGGCCTGGGGTGCTGTCCCAGGACGGGGTGCCGGGATGCAGTGCCCAGGATGCCATCCCGGGATGCAGTGCCGGGATGCAGTGCCCGGGATGCGGTGCCGGAATGCAGGGCCCGGGATGCTGTCCCGGAAGGGGGTGCTGGGATGCAGGGCCTGGGATGCCTTCCGCGATGCAGTGCCGGGATGCAGTGCCC